CTTAAAAGCCCGTCCTGAGAGGACAACGATTATGATAAGGAAAACTGGATAAATTGTGAATTATAATTTACACATCCCAGTCTGGGTTTCTTGAATTCTTTTTTTTTTCTCGTAGAACCACATCAAACAGTGCAGCAAGTTTCCAGTAACTCGTCCAAACAACTGTGGTCGTTCAATTTCAAGGGACATGGTGAGACTTTCATCTTAACAAGTCGTTAAAAGTTGTCCTATGCATATTCCAACTAAAGGTATTTTTTATATAAAGTTTTGCTGTCTAGTGATCAAAATTTGCCTGTTCACGACAGGGAAAAATGCCAAGAATTATTTATGTAGGCTACGTCTATCTTTTAAGCCATTCGGCTACATATTTTTCATGTTCCCCCTAAACAAATTTTGTCAATTGTCGCCCACTCCCGGTTTTTATTTAGGGGTGCTACGCTTTCAGTCGTCGGAATCCAGTAGAAAGACGAGTGAACGAAAAGAAATCTAGCTATTAGAGTCATCGGGCAAACGGCTGAGGAACGATTGCAGAAGAGAATTGTTTTAAGAACTTCATTCTGATATCAGCCCCTCGAAAACTCTATGATTGGTCAACAAGAGACAAAGACAACTACAGTTGTCAAATTGAATATTTACGAAATTATGGCATTTGTGTCTAGCTACACAGTGCTAGTGCGATTCTGCCAAGGTGATTTCCACCGTCACGTTGGCCTGTTTCTGAGACTCTCGGCTAAGTTGGTGGATACGCTGTATCGTTTAACAAGAATGAAAACTAACTCATTTAAAAGTATAATATCCACAGCAGATACCTGCATTTAAGTATTTTATCACATATTTGATGTGGTGCAGGTTTCAACAGTCCTCGGACAATCATTTCCTGTTAATATGCAGGGGCGGGTTGTGAACGAAAGGTAAGGAATTAAACTAGAGGCCTAGAGAGAAGTAGCATTTGGCTTTCATTCCAAGAACTTCAAAGGCATATGCCATTATTCAACGGCCTTGACCTCAAACTTGTTCAATAGCGCATGTATTGTGGACAAGGCACGTTTTGTCGATGAAGGATTTACTCTGTACGAGAGAAGATTGGCAATAGCGAATTGAAAAGTAAAGCATAAAATTATTAGTTTTTTTTTCTTTTTTTTTTTCTCTCATTAAGACATGCTATTTTGCTGTTACCAATAATTTCTTCAAAAGTCAGAAAGTATGTTAGCTGGCTAAAAGACATTCACTGTTTTGTGATGTCGGTGGTAAAGAAGCAGACAGACCCGAGTCAGGGGCGGATCCAGGATTTTTCCTAGGAGAGAGACGTGACTGACGGGTGACGTAAAACAAATTTTAACAGCGAACAACAAAGAAAAAAGCTTATGACTAGACCTGAATAGACAATAACATAATGTGAACTTCTGAGAATGCACAGCAAACAATGCAGGACATTTTTAGTAACCGAGAAGCCGAGTGTTCAATGTTAATGAATTGCTAAAAACTTGTCGTTTTAGTTAAGATGAATTCTTCAACCTCGTCTCATTTTCTACTTCAACACCAATAAACACAAATAGACCAAGCATTTTTTTGGAAGAATGCTCGTTATATTAGAAAGCCGCAGGTAATCTCAGGGGGAGAAGGTTTGCGCACCACCTGCGGGTGGGTAAGATAGTAAGGCCCACACTACCCGCTAGTAGCCAATCATTTCACAGTACTAGCTTACTTTTTGACGCTAACAGAGCCGCTCAAGTAGTAAATGACTTTTCCCTTCATGATTTAAAAGAGAATCCGACACGTTTGAATTAAAGACCATGTGTTCCGATACCGTTTTCAAAAACAACTACATGTATGTCTCAGAATTTTATTATCATACATAGAATTATTAGTTAGCGAGGTGTTCATTTTTCGGTAGGTCCAGCGTCAAGAAATGGAATCTCATCTTGAATCATCATCCAGAGTCCCTTTTGATTTAGTTTATTTTAAGCTAAATAACACGGAGGATGAGTTAAAGAACACAAAAGCTGAGTTAAGTGAAACAAAAGATGAGTTGAATGCGACAAAAGATGACTTAAGAGAAACAATAGATGAGTTGAATGAGACAAAAGATGAGTTAAGTGAGACAAAAGATGAGTTAAAACGATTACAGTTGTCAAGTATAAAACATACAAACTCTTTTCTTTGGCGGATTAACGGTCTCAGTGAGATTTTCAAACAGGCAAAGACCGATAAAGACAAAGATGATATATACAGTGAACCATTCTACGCAAAAACTGGAACAGAAAGTTATGGCTACAAGTTGAAAGTAAATGTTTGTCCTAACGGCCATGACGTTGGCGAAAAAACTCACCTTTCGGTTTACATTTTTATAATGAAAGGTGAATATGACACAATATTACCCTGGCCTTTCACTGAGAGGGTGAAGTTCACATTGATTGATCAACAGGAGGATCCAGACCAACGGCAAAACAAAACTAGTGAGATCGTTGGGGAAGATAATGAATACTTTGCACGGCCTGTTACAGACAAAAACAGTGGGTGGGGTTTTCCAAAATTCACATCTCACGAGGAAATTTATGAGAGACGCCTCGTGGTGGATGACACTCTGTTTCTTCAGATTGACATTAGGTCACCATCAAGTTGATTTCATGTTCCAGTCCTGAATTGAAAAAAAAGGAAAAGGACATATTTAGCCTCTCGTTATGATTTTGTAGTATTACATCAAAAATTAAATCGGATAAATCTTTACTATTTGTGATAAACATCTGAAACTATTCAGTTTATCGATACTGTAGTTCGGTCGGTGAACTTACTAGGTGCGAAATATACAATTTATTCAGGAGGATACAACGATAGATTTTGATCGAATGCGATCAGGGTAATTAAGGCGCCACGTGCCTGTATACTCCGAGATATGATGATTTTAACAGTAAGGTTCGAATTGCGTTTCCAGATTTTTTCTTTTTTTTCAGTTCAAAAGTTAAAAAAAAAGCACTCATCTCAGCCAAAGAGGTGAGAGATTATTAGGATGTAGGTATACTTTTAAGAATATAAAGGGGGAGAGGGGGGAGGAGAAAGGGGGGAGGGGGTATCCTTTTCAGACCTTTTTGGGTTCATTTTGCGAAGTGATGAGACATTTATTGACAATTTACATTCATTCTTGACCAAGGGCCGCTTATGTAAAATGAGAATAATTATTGACAGAAGTTCTGAGGAAATAGCAGCGAAACTTAACTTTCGATCTTATGGCGTTCTTTATCAGCAAAGTTAGCGCGTGTTGTCTCGCGATTACAAGTCTGTTTAGTCACCTGGCAACAAGCAATTGAAAATGGCGAGTAATCAGTAGCTCATATCTAATCAACATTTCTTGAGCTGTGTGCAACACGTGTACAAAAGGAATTCTCTAAACTTGCAATATATGCTCTCTGTTATCCAAACTAGAAGACTGTAACTCTACCTTACGGTTGTCCCAGATACCAGTTAAGGAAGCAGAAATAAGTTACGAAAACAGCTGCGTGGATCGATTCTCAGAATAGAAAATTTATAGGAAAATTCATTACCTGACGAGGGAATTCTGCTTTAAATTGCACGCGAAAACTGGTATCGCACGCATCGCCATATCGGTTTTCAAGTGTAATTTAACGCGGAATTCACCAGTCAGGTAATGGGTTTTCCTCGAGACGCGTAATGAAATAAAAATAAGAGAAAAAGAAAACAGCAATGATATTGTTTGTTTATATCCTGAGTGCGAAGCAAGAGATGCGAAACAACATAACTTAGCCTCGTTTTCAACTCGCAATTTCAAGCTAAATACTTCGCTTCGTTAACCAATCAGAATTCGAGATTTTATTAAGTTGGGCGATTCTACAATGAATTTATCCTATTCCAACAGCCCTTTAATGGCTTTAACTAATTAATTTATTATACCAAGGTTTTATAAATATCTTATAAGTCTCTAAGTGATTCATCTTTATGGTTCAGGTTGATAAGATTCAAAGTTGTTCTTATTTGAGACCTCCAAGATCTGACAGATCTTTTTAATCAGCCGAGGTTTTTTTACAGAGAATGAAAGTGATTTATGGTCATGTATGTGCTCTAACATTGTCAAACAATCTTCGTCTGTCTTTCGCTCATTACTGGTGAGACCTTCGAAAGGGCCCTTTAAAACAAATGGGGCCAGCCTTTCATTGCTTTTAAAATGCTGTGAATTGTTATGGATTTACCTTAGTTTTTATAGCTTTCTTCTTATGGTCTAACGATTTATCACTGACTTTATTTTTTGATATAGATGTTTGTAATGCGCCATGAGCATGGCAATGGCGCCATATAGATAAAAGTCATCGTTGTTATCATTAGTTGCCATAATACTTCCGACTGGGTCAGTAAGTGTTCATTTGCAGAGCTAACAAAATGATAAACCGTTAAAACTTGTACTACGAAAGCTAAAGGTGTATAAGGGTGACATAAACGAAAGGGTTTCTGAGTGATGTTTCGCAGTGTGGCTTGCTTTATTTAAATTTGGTAATAAACACACTTAACTTTTGGAAAAGCTTTCCATGTAAAAGGTTTCCTGTGATTCCCCTCCAATTTGATATCCAGGTGCCCGTTAATTACAAGTTTCCGAGTCTTCCATAAAGCTGATATTTGGTTTACTGCATTTTCATTCGAGATCGAGATATTGATAATTTTGAAATTGTAAAAAATTAAAGTACCACAAAACTAGGGAGAGGATGTCTAATAATTCCAGGAATGTCTTAAGTTCGGAATACAAAATTTCACTCCCTTGAGTATGAGGAAGAAAGGCAGTTTTCCGATTAAGTAACGGCTTACAACCGCCCGAGACTGCAATAATAGAAAAAATCCGCAAGGAGCAGAAGAGTCGAATATGCCGTTGTATCCAGTTAATCGAACAACCTTGTCACGCACAGGATTAATTTCTGGCATGTAACGCGATCACAGTTCTTAACGATTTATGAACGAAATCCACATGAAGTGCAATTGTACCGTGACTTTGGTTAGAGAAAAGGGTCAAATATGGCTCTTTTGGCTCCTGTGCAAAATTGACAGGGAGATTTTGTTAATGCCTGAAAGGTACGTATCCTAAGATCTTAAACAGCTTACGTCGTTAATAATAAATTGTGATTTTATCATAATATATCTCATAAACAGAGACTTGCATGTACCGGGCATGACGGAGTTTTTTTCCAAAGAAAAAAAAAGCGTTGGAAGAGATAAAGGAATTTTCGTTGACTTGATGAATCGATCGATAGATCAAGGCCAATACACGTGAAAAAGATATGGTTAAAAGTGAGCAAGAACTGTAGGTCATCATGCAAAAGCTGCGTTATTTTTTCTACTGTCACGAAGTCATTCGTAACTACATTACAAAAATAACTTGAAGCACGGGTTAAAATGTTTTTGGCTGGATTTCAAAATGGCGGAATCTACATCAAATGAGTGCTGCGGTCCCTCAGGCCAAGACGAGGACTTTGTGGAACCAGTTGACGAGGATTTGCAATGTCCCATATGTCATTTACCGCTAAAGGAGCCGGTTCTTACGAGATGTGGCCACAGATATTGCAAGGAATGTCTTGACGAGCACATTAGAAGGTACGAGCTTATGATAGCTTTCAGTATTGGTGTTCGTTTGCTCAATTAATCCGATCATCCTAGGGAATTCATGGCAGTTCATCAGGGTGTTTCAAAATGCAATCACTGGAGAAGTCGAAAGCTATCTTATCAAAGGGTGGTGGTTGTGTGCATGTTCTAGACATTACTTAGATTGGTGACCACTGCATAAATTTACTTCGTCAGGCAATTTGCCGTTTCTAGCATTGTATTAATTCGATTAGTTTCAATTCAAATACGCGCCTAACTTCCTCCAAAACGTAGCACGGCATATTTTTCTTAATATCAAACGCAATCAACGGGTTTCATACTAACTTGTTCACAGAGCAAAATATCCCAGAATCGAAAGCGGAGATCAGTTTTGTAATTATGTAATGCAAGCGCGATTACTGTTCAAAGCTCAAATCATTTCTCCACGGTCACTACTTTGTACTAAACACTGATATCACGCCATTTAGAGCTATAGTTCGCCTCATTTCACCCACAAATGATTTACTCGGCCGCTAAATTACATGGATTTAGAGACTCATCTTTTTTACTTTGTAAATTATGTTAGGCCTACACTGGGGCCTTAAGTCGCCGTAACTTTGGGCGATTGAAGGCGACTTAAGGCAACTTAAGTAAAATTGTAAGGAAAAACATTGCGACTTTAGGCGATTTAAGGTGACTTAAGGCAACTTAAGGCAAATTAAGGCGACTTAAAGCAACTTGAGGCGACTTAGAGTGATTTTAATTGACTGAAGTGCTAAAATCAAAGTTAGCAAAGGTCTCTCCATAAACCTTAAAAATATTTATAGAATCCCTTGCAATAAACACCATAGTCATTTTGGCTACTTTTGTAAGCTCATAAGTCACCACGGTCTAAAATATTCAGATTTCAAACCAATTTAGCAAAATATAATTAGACAGGATTGCCACAACAGTTATTGTTAAATTATACCGACAGTCAAAGCTAGTGAATAAATAGCCAGGAAACCAATTTAGCTTAAAATGTTTAGACAGATTTACCACAACAGTTATTGTTAATCATACAGTCAAAGCTAGTGAATAAATACCAGGAAAACATCATGGGTTATATGCCCAACATCAAACAAACCTATCAAAAATATGCACATAAAGACACATTTTTAATTTAAGAAAAGAGGGATGATTTACTTAAAACTATCGATAAATTTTCCACATATTAATTAAAAATAACTGAATTATTTAACTATTTTACAAAGCCTCACAGATTATGAAAATTGTTATCTTAGTAAACTTGTCTCCCACATTTTTGCTACTTGCACTGCCAATTTTGGCATGAATGTTTGGCATGTCGCATGCCTTTCCAACAGCATCCAAAATTGCGCGGTCCTTTTCAGGGACCCAACCAATTTGTTGTTCTCCTGCCTCAGTTAGACAAAACGCTCCAATACCATACTGAGAACCATATGCTAAGGTCTTTCTCCACTGTTGATTGGATCAGCAGGACCTTCCAAGCATTGAAGTTTTATTTTTAGCCTGGTGGCAGTATGACAGATTTAAAAGCATTCATTGTTACCTCACAACTTTCCAGAAACTAACGAGTCACGACGAAATTGTCCAAGCTGATAACTGGCTCTAAAGTCTCCGCCATTTTAATTCTCCCAGCTACCTTTGTGCTGCTAACTAGTTTCCATGCTTCGAAGTTAAGAGCGGGACAACACTATAGGGTTTCTCCCGCCAAGTACGCCCGTTTCATTGAAGCGGTCACCAAGTTAAACTTTCAGAGTGAATTTTTCTACAGCTTTTTAATGATTTTTTTTTGCAAAGATAAATCAATTATTTCTCTGTACACTTTTCAGGAGGCTGGCGTGCGTGTTGTTCTCAGGTGCACTTTGGTCACGGGACAAAACTCAAGTCACGTGATCAAATATTTCTGGCGGCCATGTTTGCTGCAAAAGGCTTTTCTTGGCTTAGAAGTAGTTCATGTTGGTTGATCATCAAACTGACGAAGATGAAATGTACAAAAAGACTATCAAAGTCTCAAGATTGATAAATATTTACGCCTTCAGTAGGTTCGTCGAGCTACAAAGTTCAAATGTTTTCAGTTGGTCGAATACCATGGTAGAAGTAGCTGGTACAGATTAGTGGGTTTATGCTAGAGTAATGGTCCAGTTTTGTCATTCTTTTACTCTGGGTAAGTTAAGTGGATAAAACTTAGCTTCAGTTAAGTTTAGTTGACTTTTGATAATGTTATTTACACTGCTCAAAGTATAAGTGACTGATAAGAATTGAGCCTTTCTCCAGAATACCTTTCTATCGTTTTATCTTGATAATCTGGTACTGCAGGTTTTATGCGATTCAATATTTATTATATCCTGATGATAATACACAGTGTCAACCCTTTTATCAACTTTTTTTTATTATGAAATACAAGACAGAAATTTTGTTGAAACACATAGCTGTTTTAGTAAGAAAATGGAAGAGTATACATTGTCATATTCTTTACATCAGTATTGTCTACATGTAGAAATTACCCATGCCAGCATAGGGGCTAGACAGGTGTATGCTTATTTTCACATGGAGTTTCTATGTATATGGAAGCCATTGCCAACCTCACAATAACAAAAATTAAACTCGTAGTCCATTGCAGGGTTACCTCCCCCCTGCCAACCAGTACCCATATTTACACCTGGAAAAGGTGAGGTACTTTGAGCTTACAGTATCTTGCCCGAGAACAAAATGCAATGCTCTAACACTAGACACCAAAACTGTACTAATGTCGAGTCCAGTGCACCAACCATTCAGCCACCATGCCTCCTCCTCTGATCCTTATGATTAAAGTGGGGTCAATGGGGTCAATTGGGATTAGGGTGGAACCCTTATAACATTGTATTAAGGTGACTTTAGGCGACTTAAGGCAACTTAAGGCAATTTAAGGCAACTTAAGGTCCCAGAGTAGGCCTTGTGTGAATGCAGTGAAATATACTCGCAGGGAAAAATTCTAACCAGGAGGCTTGGCACACTGTTCACAGCTAAGGGCTAAATATTTTTCTTATGACACAAAACAAATGATCCAGTATTTTCAATCCCGTGTTCATCAACCTGAATATTCGTTTTTCGATGTTGAACTTTCTGTACGTTGTTGCAGAAGTTGATTTTTCAACTAGCGATGTTGTGAACGTTGTTCAGTGGTGTCGACTGGTGTCTAACCTGCATGATCATTGAATACAGGCTGAAAGTTTCTAAAGAAACTGTGGTGCGACGTCGTTGGAGGTAACAAGGTAATTCCTCAGAGCATTCGCTCTGACGAAGGGCTAACGCTCGAAACGTTAGCTTTTTAATTAGTTACGGTGGCTAATTTACCCTTTGAACTTAGTTGATATAACCAAACTGTTTGATCATTGTGCAGGTGACTCTCGTTTTTCCGTTTAGTTAACTGACTCCTGTTCCCACATGGCTACCTTATATTGTGCCTTGATGTAGTAGCCCTCTCCATCACTGAGATGGTTAATTTAACTCTCCTCGGTGGTCGCGTTGTTAAAAACTGGAAAATTGCTATGGTCATCTCTCTACTAAAAAAAAGTCAAAACTCTATGTGGTTTGCGAAAACTTTCTTCTAATCAGCAATCTTCCATCTATTTCCAAGTGGAAAAGGTAGCTTATAAACAATGATCACTGTCAAAAAATGCTCCTCTACCTAAATTGTTGTCCGGGTTCTGAAAGTGTCACTCCACGGAGTCTACTCTCTTAAAGGTTCATAACGACCGTCTAAATGAGTTTCATCATACGAAACGAAGTTCCTTGAAAATTTAGCACCTGAAGCGTAGGTACACAGCGAGTTTTTGCTAGAAAGGAGAGGTGGACTTTGTAGTAAGAAGACAAGCATAGGTTTTATATTCGTAAACGTTTCCTCTTATGGTAATAGTCACCATGATAATTTACAGAATTTTGCGATTGCATCCTCTAACGTTGCACTCTAACGTTGCAAACTCGTTGCACTTAGTTTAAACATATTCGTAAAATGTGTGCGTTGCTTCCGCAATTACTTCTCACGAAGCATCTAAATGAATATTTACCGATGTGATCTTCCTCAGAAGTATCGTCCCCAAAGATTTCATTGTTTGGGCATAGGAAGCGGAAGTCAAATTATTTGATCGTACATTATGATAGTGACCGCTGTCATATTGTAGTCACTGAAACTGAAACCTGATCAAATATCATCTCTTCCGTCATATCCGTTTTAAAAAGTCTAACCACTCAAAAACAAACAAATGTCAGCAGTAAATGCAAAAACCCACACACAAAGAAGGTCTATAACCAAATGAAAAATGTTTTAATTGAATTTTCTAACAGGTCGCCACTTCGCCCAAAAGAGTCTTATAACTTCACTTGTCCGACTGACTGGCAGCATCTGAACGCAAAAGAGGTAAAAAAACTACTTAAGCATCTTAACATTCAAGTGATTTGTTTGCCTAAATGTTTAATTTGATTTAAAATACTTTGGCAAAAGTACTAAATAGTTCACTTAATAAACCCATTTTCAATTCTGGTAATTTTTATAAAATATCTTTCAGTTTACTCGTAAATATGCTTCATGATTTCATATCCATTTATCTCTTTCTCGAATATCATAATTTTAGGCACGTATGTTTGTAGTCCATTTATTAGCAGAAAACCAATCACTAATTCAGTCAAACAAAGCTAGCTTAGCTTCTGATCATCAGATCATCATCATTAACTTTAATTTTACTTGAAACTCCGGATTTTAACCTATTTGCTTTTCAAAGACTTATGACCAAGGCTATCGTGGTTATGTTTAGGATGTTTTCCCTGATAAAGCAACCGAAAGGAAGATTCTATCTTTAGCGATCAAATGTCCAAGTGATGGCTGTAAATGGACTGGGGAACTAAGGAACAAGGAGGTAAAACTACCTCAAATTCTTCTCGATATAAATCAACGCCGTCGTCAACGTAATCTTCTTTTCCAATTTCCTTTTCTCTATTAATCACTGTAGTGGAGGGGGACAGGTGGGCGGGAGCCCGGGAGAACAACGGGCGGGAGAGGGAGGGAAGCGAGAGAACAAGGGGCGGGAAGCGGTATCTACATGAGGGCGGGAACCGGGAGCAGAAATAAATAAGGCGATAGTTTGTTGTTTATTACTGGGTATTACTCAGTCATAAACACTTATCTAGCAAGGTTTTGAAATTTCTAGTTAACATCTACCAATGCTTAAAAACATTTTCCGAGGCAAGAAAACGTAAATTTGTACCCGGGCTGGAAAAACAGCATTACTTCCGGTAAATTTGTGAATCTGTTCAAATTGATTACGTCATTGGTCATGAGATAGCATGACTTGTACAGTGTCTGGTAAGTTGTAGCTGTCGAAAATCTCCAACAAAGAAAGTGATTCAGGGTCATTCAGGTCAATTGTGACAAATGTCGTCAAAGACCATAATAATCGGTCTCAGTATTTTCCGTTGTGGCCGCGAAAAATCCGTTCATGGAAGGGCTAACGCTCGAAACGTCAGCTTTTGTAAACGTTACTTTGGCCAATTTACCATCAAGTAGGACGATTTAGGAGGGCGGGAGTCGGGAGGCAAGGGGGCACACAAGTACGGGAGGAGGAAGAGCGTGGTAGGGGAAGCGGGAGACTCCGACCCCACTGTTCCCCCCCCCCTCCCACTCTGTAGCTCGTACATGAAGGAGAATTGCCGTTAAAACAATGGGGTGAATTATCCTAACTTATAGAATATTGTAAATTTACTCAGTAAGCCAGTACGTTTTAACTGACATTCTTTGTTATGATTAATTTCTTGAGCAGGTACACTTGGGTAATTGTCCTTTTCATCGATTGCCGTGTAACAACAGTAAATGTCAAGAAAGAGTCCAAAGAAGACATATTAAACAACATGAAAACGAGGAGTGTCCCTGGAGAATCCTCAATTGTTCATACTGCTCTGATCCGTATCCAGAGTGTGAAATGCAGGTAAGTATTCAAACAGTCAAAGAATTCATGAACAGCACAGTGGTTAGAGCATCCGACTAGATCACGGAGGGTCGTGGGTTCAAGTCCCATCTGGGGCTCGGAGATCTTTTAATGTTTCGTTAAATAAAACTGAGAGCCTATACACCCATGTGGATCGAATAAGAATTAGTGTGTATCAACGAAAAAATGGTAGATCCTAATTCCACACTGAAGTCCAGGCTGGAAAGTGATAGGAAAAAAATGGAAATATATTATATAGTTAAGTTTAAACACTCCTAAGTTATTGGATTCTTATTTGTAGGACCATATTAAAGAATGCAAGAAGTTTCCAATGACTTGTCCAAATAGCTGTGGTAGTTCGATCCCACGGGATGAGGTGAGACTTTCAACTGCATTTTGATTTACACTCTGCCGGACGGAGGTTCAAAGCGTTTTTTTTTTTTTTTTTTTTTTTTTTTTTTTTTTTCGGTTATATGCAGCTTCTAAAATACAAGATATTTATCTTCTTTATATAAATTCACTTCCGCTCAGTTTAAATATCATCACTATACGTCGTTAAAAGTTGTCCAACGAAACTTTTAAAATTTCCCCCCAAAACAACAAGTTGCTTTTATTGCCTGCTTCCAGTGTTTATGTAACGTTTTTCAGGCTCCCAGTCAATGAAACTGAGGAGAGAAGTGGGCTAACGAAAAACAATAGTAGTGGTTATCAGTGACACGGCCTCGAAACGAGAGCTGAAAACACTTGTGCTGTGAGCCCTACTGTTATGCACCAGCCCATGGTTTTCTGCATGATTGGAAAGTTTTAGAGCTTCTATCTACAGGGATCTTGGCACAGGCCAATTTTATTTTGCTCAGTATGGATACGCTGTGCCGTTGAAAGATCCATTCCATTATTATTGTTTAAATAGCGCCTCTGATTGCTCAGTTATTTTAACCTTGCCACGTTATGAATAAAGGTAAAGACAGACCGTCACGGACTCGCTATGTGGCTTTTGTGGTCGCGTCGCATTACCGCCTTTAAATTGTATTTTTTCCCTCACAAGTGTGCCGTTAGGGATTTTCCCTTTTTTGCAAGAGATGATCGGATGTTGGAAATTGGCCTTTAAAAGTCATGAATACTCACTTATATAATATGATTTAATTTTAGTTTACCCACAGTAGATACCTTAACTACGTATTTAGTCATTTATGTGATATGATGCAGGTTTCGACTCACACTAAAGATGAATGTCCGAGGACAATCCTTCCCTGTCCATTTGCAAGGGTTGGTTGTACACAAAAGGTACGGAATTAAACTAGAGGCCAAGAGAGAAGCAGCATATGCATCTATATGTTTTAGAAAACCGTAAACATAACTAGACCCTTATTCAACGGCCTTGACTTCAAACTTGTTCAATAGCGCATGTATGCTAGACAAGGCACGCTTTGTCAATGAACGATTTACTCTATTCGAGAGAAACTTGGCAACAACGAATTGAAAAATGAAAGCACAAAATTATTGGTTTTTTTATCATTGCTGTTTATTTCGACTGTCATTACCACATCTTCCGGAAACTATTTTCTTCTCACGAATAATTTTCCCAGAAGTCACAAAGTATGTTCCCTGACTAAAAGAAATTTATTGATTTGCGGTGTCTTTTTCCGTTTGAAGTCGGACAGTCCCGGTTCAGGGGCGGATCCTGGATTTTTCCGTGAAGAGAGTGTATTGCTTACGCCGAACATAACTGATGTTAGGGACCTTAAGCACCAGGACACGAGGTACGACGACGCGGCACCGGATGTGAATTTTTAGTTCCGGTCATGCGCACGGAAGCCATTCGAACTTGTCTTCCCGCGTCTTCGCGATTCTGGGACGCCAGATAGGGTGGTTTCACGTCGTGAGACAACGTGTTCGTTTTTTTTTTACTCTTTCAACGAGGTAAGACTAAGTTTTTGCCCACTAACTTATAAAACAATCATTCAACAACATTCCTGGCCAGTTTAAAATTGTAAAGATCTAAATCATTCTTTGATTTCTTCGTTTAAGATGTCTAGTGTTCGTACCTTCTGAGCCTTGTACGAGTCGATCTTCAACTCCTTCTTCGAGTCATCCAAAGACTTCAAAACAATCGTAAGTTCTCTTAGTTACTGAAAATAATGCCAAGTCGTGTGTTATAAGTTTTGAAATCCCACAAGTACTCTGTATTTCGTCTGTAACATTGAGATATATACCTGAGTTCGCATCTTACCACCATGTTGTCAAGATTGCTTTGTCAAGTTTGTCCCACTGTGTTTTCTCTTGAAGAGATTTTAGTAAAATATGGAGCCTACATTGTTAAAGCAGTAAATCTTAGGTTGGCATCTTTGATTGATTAATGATTTGTCATACTGTAGTTATGCTAAGTTTCTGTAAACTTATAAGTTTTATATTTTTCTTAACAGAAATGCTATGCATTGGACTGAAGAGCATGGTACCCTATTGTGCAGAGAATGATGATGAGGGGATGTTTAATGCTTCTTGAAGCATGAAAAGATCGTTCTTTTCGACTCTGAAATCTGCTTTGCACGTTGTAGGATCGATGGAGTTCAAATCAAACTTGTTGTAATCTTCGTAGCCAAAAGATGGATTTTTCGAGGTACTTTCTTCGTATAACAGCACAAATTCTTTTTCATCAATAACTCCGCTATCGAACGCTAAAAGTAGCGCTTCTCGAGTTGCTTTAAAAGAGCACATCTAAAAAAGTTTTTTTGAAGCTCGCGTCGTGTTTGGTGTCAAAGCTAAAGGACAAAAAGGTACCTAACACGACCACGTCCTAGTTCCAGGACTCTCCCGATCATCACGTCCGCGCTGTGGGTCTCGCGTCTTGGTGCTTAAGGTCCCTGTTATGTTACTGAAGACGCGAACTGAACGATGTCGATTCATTGCTAAAAACGTGACGTTTTGGTTAGGATAAACTCTTCCATCAAATCTCATGTTTCACTTCAATACCAGAAAACCACATCCTTTTTGTGTACAGAATACTAGTTATATTAGAAGGCCGCAGGTCAGGGTAAGACGGATGGGCCCATTTTACCCTCTTGCAGCCAATCAGCTTGCTTACTTTTCACGCTTTCGGAGCTGCTCATGCAATAAATGACCTTTCCCTTCATAGTTTCGTGGCGCTAAAAGAGAATCCGACTGGTTTGAATAACAGGCCATGTGTTCTGATACCGTTTTTAAAAAACAACTCTATCCCATGTTGAGCGCTCAAAATAATTTATCATCCGTTAAAGCTATTTGTTAACAAGAAGTGCATTTTCCTGTAGGTCCAGCGTCAGGAAATGGAGTCTCATCTTGAATCAACAACAAGGGTCCATCTTGATTTCATTTATTCTAGGAATAACAACACGGAAGATGAGTTAAAGGACACAAAAGCTGAGTTAAGTAAGACAAAAGCTGAGTTACGTGAGACAAAAGCTGAGTTAAGTGAGACAAAAGCTGAGTTAAGTAAGACAAAAGCTGAGTTAAGTAAGACAAAAGCTGAGTTAACTGAGAAAGTTGAGTTAAGTATGACAAAAGTTGAGTTAACTATGACAAAAGTTGAGTTAAGAGAGACAAAAGCTGAGTTGAAAGAAGCCGTGAAACAACTAGAGTTGTTAAGTGTAAAACATACAAACTCTTTTCTTTGGCGGATCGACGGTTTCAGTGAGATCTTAAAACGGGCACGGACCGATAATGACCACATTTATACATGCAGTGATCCATTCTACACAAAAACTGGAACAGAAAGTTGTGGCTACAAGTTAAAAGTTAGAATTGATCCAAATGGCTGTGGCAATGGCAAAAATACTCATCTTTCGGCTTTCATTATAGTAATGAAGGGTGAATATGACGCAATATTACCCTGGCCTTTCACTGAGAAGGTGAAATTCACATTCATTGATCAACAGAAGGATCCAGACCAACGGCAAAACAAAACTTGTGAGATCGTTGGGCAAGATAATGTAAGCTTTGCAAGGCCTGTGACAGACGAAAATATCGGACGGGGTTATCGGGATTTTTTTTCTCATGAGGAAGTTTATGCGAGACGCTTCATTGTGGATGACACTTTGTTTCTTCGGGTTGACATTGAGTCAACATCAAGTTGATTTTATGTTCCAATCCTGAAAGTAGAAAAAGGGAATAGGACAGATTTAGCATCTCGATATGATTTTGTCATATAACATCACAAATCAAATCGGATGAATCTTTACTATTCGTGGTAAACATCCCAAACTATTTAGTTTAATGATACTAAAGCTAGGTCGGTGAACGCACTAAGCACCAAATATACCAATTACTATTTTAACAAATTGGACATGCCCACAGGTAGCTAGCTAATCTAGGTGGGTCATGTCTCAACTAAGAAAAAAAGTTGGTACACAAGTTTACAGAAATCAGGAAATCAATTAGAGAGAATAAGTATACAGGTTTACAGAAATCGGGAAGTTAAATAAAAAGAGTAAGTATAAAAACAAAGGTACTACAAAAATACAAAAATAGTACAATTAAGGCTATACTCGTTATTCTAGAAATACATTAAAAACCTTAAGAAAATTTGACCTTTTGAAATGTGATTACAAGTCCGTTAAGTAATAAGTCGTTAAAACTTGTACTACGGAAACTATAGAGGTGTATAACGTGGAAACCAGAGGTGTATCCCGGTGACATATATGAAAGGTTTTCTGATTGTTTTATACTGTAAGTTAAGTTGTTTGATTTAAACTTGGAAATAAACGCACTTAACTTTTGGAATAGCTTGCCGTGTATGATGTTTCCTACGATTCACCTCCGGCTTGATGTTTAGTTGCCCGTTTCTAAGGTTACCGTTTCCGTGGAGTTGTTTCTTATCTGCCCCTTTTTCATTCGAGATCGAAGCGTCGATGATTTTGATTTTAAAACATTAAAATGTCACAAAACTTCAAAGTATGGACTGGTTCTTAATCCGCGACCCCTAAAGCGACAGTTCCTCCAAAAAGTACATACGAGACTTTTAACTTGGTGCAAAGCGAAACAGATTATTAGCGTGAGAGGATGGGGCTGACTTATGCGTCAAGTTCAGTTTATTAAAGGTGCAATACAATTTATGTTTGTGTAAGAACAGCAACGAGTTTATTTGTTCGTTTAAATGATAGATGGGAGAAAAGGCTAAAATCCAGCTTTATGGTTTCTTACACCGGTTTCCTTTTGAACTCAAAGATATCAATGTAAAGAGGTATTATAGTGGATGCTATTATTATCTTTGAATCAAACTAATAAACTTTTATTAAACTCGCATCAAATTATTTATCTATCATTGAGCTTGAATTTTCGACGGCAATTCTTGAAATCATAGCCGCATGTATCCTCTGCCTTTGCTTTCTCAATAATTATTTAGAACTGCAGTTTTGAACTGTTCTGTTAGCCATAGGATCAATCTAATGTCAAGGGTTTGGAATGAAAATGTTAATAGTCGACATGCATTCATCTTCGTATGACAGTAGTGCAGAAGTGAAACCTTGATAGGCATATTTCAAATAACCGATCTTTAGAAATCAAATTTTGTCATGGCATATTTGAGACTTTCTTTTTTGCCACAATTTTGTACCGGGTTTTCGGATTGTTTGCAGAGATCGCAGAGATCGCAAAAAAGGTGGAGGTGGTCTTATTGCCTACATAAGAGCTGATTTGTCATTGTATAGGGGGAACCTTATTTACAATATTTGCCTCATTAGCATAAGCAATTCAGTTTCTGATGGAGCTAAAAATAAATCAGTTCTGAATATCGAAAGGTGAAAGTACGATTAACTCGGCCAATGAATACGAGTCTGATCCATTGAATACTTTTTGTGCAACTCGGGTTTAAAAACTCAAAATTTTACATAGAATGTTTGAGCTCATTAGCGCTTTTGCCACCCAGAAATTTTGCAGTTTTTGATGGACTATTTCTCCCTGAATATTACACCCAAAGAGCTAAAAATTTCACCATGTACTAAGGTTTTCTAGCTCTTAAGCTGCCTGAAGTCAATTTGTAGCTAACATGCTTCCTTCTTTACGCAAAGCCGCATGCAAATGAGCAAAAATGTAAACAATGACGTCAGCATGAATCCGCCCATAGGAGAGTGAAGCGAGAGCCTGAAGGATTGGAATCAATCTGTTTGGATGTCAAGGACAATTACAACAGTCGTTTTCTTGTTTGTGCATGTTATAGATTACCAGGCAAATGCAATGAGCTGGAATTTATTTACGAATTTATGTCAAGGACAATAGCAACAGTCGTTTTCTTGTTTGTGCGTGTTATAGATAACTAGGAAAATGTAATGAGGTGGAATTTATGACTTCACTATCCTCCGCTGCAGAAACAATGTACAATACCAGGAAGGAGCTATTATTATTCGGTGATTTTAATCAAGATATGTATGTCAGTATGCTGAAAGCCGGACAGCAAACAGAAACCTGGTCGACTTTTGTGATCGATTTTGCCTTGCAAATAGAATCACGAAACCGACACGCGTTTCTGACAAAACAAAGAGCATTCTCGATGTCATTCTTACAAGTCACAATGAGTGCTTTGTAGGTGAATATGACGCGATATTACCGTGGCCTCCTATTAAGAAAGTGAAGTTCACACTGATTGATCAACGGATACATACATACATACATACATACATACATACATACATAGGTTAGTTGACCACTCCCCATGGGGGCTTTTCAGGACCAATTCCCACCCATCCCAGTCCAGGGAGGACATCCACGACACAGTAATCTCGTGCGGGGGAAATTAACGTCTCCTACCCCCTAACCCTGCAGGAGACGGTGCCTACGGTTTATTCGTCCTTTAG